ACAGATGAGAGACAATCGAAAGTCTAAAGGAAGAAGATTTGGGACCTGGAGAATTTTTGTGTTTGCACTGGAACCACAACGTTGATGAAGCAGCTATCACAGTAGAGTTCAAAGGCAGAGAGTTGTGAGGTGCTGGCAGTCTGCAGAGGAATGGCATTCTGAATTGAAACCTTTGATTTCAGCTGGACATAGTATGTTGAGTGAGTGAGTGGTTCACTGATGAGTACAGTAATGCATTACCCTTTCCACTGCCCTGACCAGTAAACTACATGGTACCATTTCCTGGCATGATTCTGCGACGGGTCACACACAGCGTTAACATTTAAATCCACTACATGTTGCATTAATCTAGCTAGTCCTGCCTTCCCCCTCTGTTGCATAATTCCTAGTTGCTAAAGCTGGTTTTTTATACTCTTGCAAATACTGCAGGTGCTCAGAGTGCTTTTATGGCAGCGGGCATCTGACAGGTGTTGGTGACTAATCAACTAAGGGCTAAAATACTGAAACAATAAAAAGAACTTTTTGAATATATAGTGCTTAAGGGAAGAGAGTTTTGGAAAATATTTTTCCCCTGGGTTTAAAAGGTCTGACTCTGAGCTGATGCTGTCAGAAACTCGACACAGGGCTATGTACCAATGGGACTGGAAGACGTGGTCTTTGACCCTCTGGACGACGGCCGTTGCATTAAGCTTCTTCTCTCCATTGTGGCTCATCCTTGTTGCCTTTCTGTCTGATTCCTACTGATGTTTTCTCCCCTATCTGGAGGAATGTCTCCGGCACAGCACAGCACAGCTGCTCCTCTAGCAGGAGGCTGCAGGCACACAGCTCTTGGCTGGCCAAAAAAATAGAAAGGGAAGCTGTGAGCCTGTTTCTGCAAGTCTTGGGAGAACTGGCAAAGGGTCAAGAATGCTTTCATCTGAGCTGCAGAAGAAATGCCATTGGAATTGCTGGTAGCAGTCATCAAACTGATTGTTTCACTAGACCCACCCCCCTAAAAAAAAGAGGATTAGGAAGTGCAGCGTGCTCCAAGAGAGGCTACCAGGCCTGCCAAAATAAAACAACAATGCTCTTACGTGGCGTGAGGACCTCTGCGTTCAGGAAGCCTATCTACCTTGGGACTTGTTACAGGCACTATCTCAGGATCACATATGTGTATAGTTTAGAACATATTTAACTTTAAAAGCTTGGCTGCAATCTTTATTTTAAGGTGGCACACAGCCACTTGAGTGGTGGAAGCGTTCAGTACCGCCGAGTGACCCACACTGGATGTGACCTTGCAGGTAAGTCCCACTAGCCATGAGAGGCCTGATCCTGTCAGCAAGGGCAGGCAGGGAGCCAGGACCCTTACACAAGGTGTCCTCTTTGCCAGTGCCAACTCACTGCCCTCCCTTCACGTGCCTGTTGCTACCACGTTGTGTTACTGTAATCTGACATCCCAAAAATGCTGATTTACCAAACAGAGGTCGTAGAAATGTCATTGCAGAAACCACTGGCATTTCAAGGCTCCTGCTCCCTGGCCCCCGTGCACCCCTCTGTGTCAGCCTCTGGGCACTCTGGGAGGCTGAGGGCTGTGGCCAAGCCACACGTCCTGCTGGCAGAGGCAGTGTAGCTGGCAGAAACACCATTTTTCTCCTACCTCAAGAGAGCTGAAGTGCTTGCAAGTCTCTGCAAACACGAAGCTGGGGATCCATGGTGACCAGGCTCTTCCTAGCTTACCCTGTGAGAACAGTGAGGCTCACCAGCAACTTACTGACTCTGGGGCAAACTGGGCTCCCAGGCCCACGGGCATGAAGTGTCCTGGACTAGAGCAGCTTGGAAAGCTGGGGCTATTCCTGCAGAGAGCTGACCTGCTGTTTCCTCCTACTCCGCTCCTCCAAAGCTCCCAGATGAAAGTTAAAGTTCATAAAAGTTTTGAAAAGGATTCAGGCTTTTCCGTATCAATCTCACCTGTCTGGTGTGAAATTTAGTTTGTTAAAACCAGTTGTTTCATCCTAAAACTGATGTAGGAGAGCTCTGAGCAACCGTGCCCTGGGTGTGGTATTGCTACAGGGGAAGTGGGTTTGGGGAGAGGAGGTGGAGAGTTTCACCTCCACGGAGGTGTCAGAGAGAGGTAAGCAAGGAAGGTCACAGAGTCTTCTGAAGTGGAAAACCGAGTTATTGGAGACAACTGACTCACTTCTTGTTCTAGTTTATGGTAAAAATACTGAAACTTTGGCAAACCTGGCTAAAGGATCATGCAGAAGTTTAGGAAAAAAAAAAAAAAAGCTCCTTTGGTATTTCTTTCCCCTAAAGGGACATAAAGATCCAGGTTGGTGGGGACTGTCCTTAGACCAGAATGGCCTCTTTCAACTTCTGCAGGTTCCCTCCTTGCCCACGCCACTCTCTGACCTTGCTCACTAGTTTCTAACTCTTACTTTTTAACTAAAAGCTAAGTTAGGGAGTTTATTCAGATTTTTCATTTAAGGTCTTTTTTTACCTGCTGCCCCAGGGTCTGTGACAGGCATTTTGTGTAAGCAGAACACAAAACAGGAGCAACTAAAAAAAACACAGAGCAGAATTCTAAAAGCAGAGCAGTCCTCCCCTGAGGTCTTTATTTTTTGTTGTTTTAGTCAAATTCCATGATACTCCAAAGAGGATAAAGAAGATGATGGGAGGATGGCAAAGGCCAAATCAGCTGTGGCCACCCCATGGTTAAGGATTTTGGTGTGAATGGAGCCACAGCAGCCCCTGCTGTGGTACATGGCATGTGCTAGGGGCTGCCACGCTGCCAGCCACAGCAGCCCAGGGCCAGCACCTCTAGAGCTCACTGATGGGAGAGGAGGGATGTTACAGAGCAAGCCAATTAAATCTGCTCTTAAATACTCACCCCTTGGCCAAAGAGGATAAAAAAAAAACAACTTTGAAAGCATCTGAAAAGTGAGTCAGCTTTTGACAGCATCCTGGCTGAATACGTAGCCCAGGCAAGAGCCCTTGGTCAGCCCTTGCCCACTCACTGGGCACGCTCCTGGGAGGGTCTTCTTGAGCTGTGGGTCCCTTACGCTGGTATTTGTGTGTGTTTCTTTCAAAAGTGTCATCAGAGCTGGTGCACAGAGAGGCTCTGCACCTACATGAGCACGGGGCAGCCGGTGGTCCCTTAGGGAGCTCTTGTCTCCTGGGGGAGCTGGACTTGTAGTGCCTTCTCCAGCACTGCTGGGGTGTCTCGTGGAGAGGAGTGGAAGCCAAGCAGAGCAGCTTTTGCTTGGCTAGAAATGTCACTCCGTGGAGCTGCCAGATGAAGCTCGGTGGCAGGATGATGCAGAAAGCAAACAAGCTGGATGGTTTCAGTCCTGGAGCGAGCAGGACTCCAGGGCTCACTGGAGTCTCCTGTGTTGCCAAGCTCTTTGCTCTGTTTGGGTGGCACATGGCCTTACTCTGCAGTCTGTCAGGGACCACGGGTTGGAGCGAGGCTCAGCAGGAGCTGGGACTCGTTTGCTTTTTGGATTAAACTGTATTTCCCACTGATGATGCCTTTATTACAGGAAGCAGCATTCAGTTCCTCACTGGCAGATAGGAACACGTTACCTGAGGAACGTCAGCAGCCATTTAACTCCAGCCAGGTGTTTGCAGCCAGCTCCCTTTTGCCAGCGCCCGCGCTCTCCCCGTCGTTAATCACATCATAGATGTAGATTTGGGAGTTGCATTCACTCGAAGTGATTCAGTGGTTTAGTAATTCAAAGACCATCAGATGCTGTGATGAGAATGAAGCACAGGGCAATGCCTTTCCTTTGTTCCCCTGTTCTGCAAAACTTGCTCAGGTTTTTTAAAAAAAAAAAAGCCACCAAAACAGCAGACTTCTGCCATGTCAAAGCCAGAATGTTTTTTGTTGAAATAGAAATAAACTTTTGTCTTGTGCAAATGAAGCATTATATGTTTTTTTGTATTTATAAATCTGTGGGGAAGCATTAAATAGTCATCTCTGTTACGAAGGAGTAAGTCATTGACAGAGGGAAGGGGCTCCCCTTCCTGATGTTCCATTGTAATGTTTGTTGTATATATTTGCACATTAAAAAACCTTCCACCTTTTTCATTTCATGCATTTTCCATTTTTTTTTTAATTCTCTTATTGGGCTGTGACTTGTTCATACAAATTATTTGGATGCAAATTCAAACAAGTTTTCAGACAAATACCACACCCCTATGTACCAGGAAGATTATTTGACTTGAGAAACCAAAAAAGGACCAATTTGCAACCTGGGCTGGTGTCCACATCCTCCTGGGGCTGGGTAAGTCACGGCCCCCCCAGCTGCTGCCCCTGCTGCAGCCAAGGGGCAGGAAGGGACTGCACTTACTGACTGTAGACGTAAACCACAAGCACAGATTCGTTCAGCACATGCTCTGGGCTTGGATACAAAGACTGGTTGTTATTTAACCTGATTCTTTAATTGCTCCGTGCTCAGGAGTGCAGTTAATGTCATTTCCACATGCAGCGAGCTGGGCATGTGGGATCCTTTCAACACACACATCTCAGGATTTTGAAAATGAATGGAGACACTCCCTGGGAGCAGAGCTGAGCCAGCCTAGCTGCTAACCAGCAAGGTAGTTTGGGAAACAGTTTATTTGTTGCTTCAGGCAAGTGTCACTTTGGGATCTGCCTGCTTTGTACTCCTGGCTGAATACCCACTGTGCTGAATCGAGGGACTTGTAGTGCTTAGAGAGCCATTGATGGGAACTTGGCTGCATGACTCCAGAAGCACAGACACGTGTCATGTAGATAAGCCTGTGCCTGGGGCCTGATACAAGGGAACTGGTGACATTTTGTGTTCAGTCTTAGAGGGAGGGCAGGGCAGATAAATAAAAGGTCAGATAAAGTCTGACTGCTGGTTCACAGGCTGCTTCCATGTCCTCTCTACAGTGGGGATGGGAACGGCCCTTTCAGCAGGGAGCAGGCCCCAGAAAAATGACTTCCCTCTCCCCCACCAGCTCCCAGGCCCTCAGAGGGAAGGAAGCTGTGGAAGCCACCACCCCTCTGCTACAGCCACCCCACGTGTCCCCTCCGAGGGGGACTTCTAGAGCAGCAGAGGTGGTTGCCAGGGGGGGCCCAGCACCCAGAGCACCCCGCAGGCAGGGGCAGCTGCCCGTGGGACCCACACCCCCCGAGCTCATGCTCCAGAGCTGGACCCTGCGGTGCTGGGACGGCCAGCACGGGGCTGCACACGATTCGGGAAGCTCCCAGGCTCCTCACGCCTCCCTGCAAAGTACCTGGGTGGTTAGGTAACAATAACAATAATAAGGGGAAAAAACTGATAGCAGAAGGTGTGGCTGTGCAAGCACTTGGTAGAGTTTAGCCCCTCCAAGCACCCCCACAGTTACCAACCACACAAAGCTCTGCCCCGACGCAGAAACCAGCAGAGCAGCCAGCTCTGGAGCACTTTCCCAACCCAGGCTGGGCAGGGAACACAAACCCCTCCAAAAGGCAGCAGCTCCCTCCCAGCCCACTGCTTTTTGCCTCTTCAGCTCTTTTGGTTGAGAGTGTAATTGCTTGGGTCAGTTTTAGCCTGAGATGCTCAATAGAGCTCTACCTTATAATGGGCATT